TGGTTGATAGTTCCTGATCTGAGGAGTTTAAAACATAAATAAGACGAGATCATTATCTTTTTTCATATTTATATTCTGTGCCACAGGCAGTCCCTGCTGGCTACTCTTTAGATTGTTGTGATGCAAATAGTGTGTCCTTATTTAAAGTGAAAAACATTACTATGATCCGTTTTCTGCTTTGATGGCACCAACTTGGGCTAAACTTCTGATCCAAGTAAGATTTGTTCTATATTTTTCCCAGGAAAATGGCTTCAATGAATATTTCAAGCACTTTGTAACACTGGAAGTGACAACATGAAGAGAGAGAAGCTGATTGTGCAGAAATAAAAGCCAGGCTACAACTAAAGGTCAGAAGGCAAATGTGCCTAGGTCAAGCACTACATACCTTTGGGTTCTTGAACCTGACTGCTGCAAGAAAATCAACATTACATAAAGCAGTTCCCTGTGTAATAGATCCTGTGCTGGCTGGTAAACCCTGATGTAAGTGTTAATAGGTCAGGCAAAACCCTACATACTGTACACTGGAGATCACACTTTTTTTCTTGTCCTTCTGGGAAGACAGAATTCTGACTGCTGCACAATTCTGTTTACTGACCATCTATACCTGTCTCCAAGGTTACTGATTTGGGGTGGTTCATTAGCATACAAATACTCTTTACTTAAGGAAGAAGGTCTTATTTGTGAGCTTTAATATGCTCAACTGACCAGCAACCAATGTGCATTCAGCAAGTAAAGTAAAAACAGGTAATCCACAGGTTAATCTTGCATAGTTCAGGAATTTGCATTGCAGTAGCACTAAGGCAGTAATTCCTTATTTTGTCCTTGAACTCTGCAGACCATCCTAAATTTCTTTGGGTTTTTACATTGAGGAGTTCGATTCAGGATCCTCAGACATTTTAGAACCTGTGCAGATCTGTGATCTGAGCTGGAAAAAACTTGCACAGGAAGCCAGTGCTCTTCTGAACCCGCAGACCAGCTCCTTTCTGCTGATTCTGCAAGGTTTAACGTGCACTTGCTGCATATCCACGTGGAAGCAGAATTTGAACTCCTTGGGGTTGTACATCTCATCTGTTGATTTATTAGGACAATGATTTAATAGTCTTGTTCTCTGGTGATCCTGTTAACTTCCAGACATTTATGCCTGTTTATTTGTCCACAAAGTGCTGTTCTCAGAACTGTTTTCCTGATTAAAGATTAACAGTGTGATAAAGGCAAGGAAACATGGGCATCCTTGAATTTTGTTTCTTACATCAGTTGGGTTAAACCTTTACTACCTTTTCTCACTGTGTGTCTTCACTTGATGTTTGGCAATCAAATTCTGCACAGCTCTAGCACGTTTCCTCCAGTTTAGTCAAAACAAGAGGAAAACTTTCTGCCTTTTAAACGTAACTTCTTTGACCTTTGCACAAACAGCAGCAAAAGGCTTTACTAACTAACTAAGGGGAGTTGTCTTTAGAACTTTCTTTGCTATCTCTTTGATTAAAGAGTATTCTGTAAGAACACTGGGAGTCACTGAGGTGTAGTTAACTGTAACTATGTTCGAGTGTTTGAAATGGAAGAAAAAGGTCCTGAAGCAAACACACTTCTTCCCAACAGACCCAGGCACGTAGATCTGCTGTCTGCCAGAAGCAGCAAGCCATGCATTACTGGATAGTAAAATTGTTTCTAAGTCTGTAACAGTGTTAGATGAAACAGTTAATACACAAATTGCAATTCTGGTTAATATTTTTAGACCACTCCTGTGACTTGTGCCTGCGCAATCACCCCTGGTACTTTCAGCTCCAACAAGCTTATGCTAAATGCTTTCCCTTTTATGTATCCCACATCTGTATGCTATTATGCCCTGGTTTTTTGTCACGCTATATAATTATAATTGTTAACTGCATGGAGCAGGATTTGAAAAGCAGAGGCAAGCTGTAAAAGTATTAAGGTCTTTAACTCAATAGAAGTTGTTTTGGTTCTTCTATTAGAACCACTCATATTTAAAGAGGGTATTTGTCTTCTCAAAGCCAAGAGGAGCCCTGGAGAGAGAGCAGCACAGGACTTTCACTGTGCCTTCATACAGTGCACATCAAGTGGTTTGTGCATGAGTGGCACAGTCTGAGCATCTCTGTGCCTCTAAGAGAGCGCTGTATCTCTGCTCATCCTCCTCTTTGCACTGAGAAAGAGAAGTGGTAATTTATACCTGGCCAGACACTGGTCAACCAATGCACCCCAGAATGACTTCTCTTTGACTTTGCTTTGCTGTGTTCCCGTCTTTCTTTTGCTACGGTGAAAAAGTACAGTAACAAGTAGGACTGTATATACAAATAGGGCTGCAGCTAAGCCACTGGGCTAGAGGTCTGACCAGCTTTTAAATGGCTGTAGAGATGAGGACAGTAGTCCTGTGCTGTTCGGCAAGAAATCCAAGGCAGATCTGAATGCTAAAAAATGCCTGCTGGAAACAACTGCAACTCCTGTCCCAGAGCCAGATGGGAGATTCAGGCTGGACATGAGGAAGTATTACTTTTCAGAAAGGGTGGTCAGGCACTGGAATGGATGCCCAGGGAGGTGGTGGAGTCACCGACCCTGGGGGTGTTCAAGGAAAGACTGGATGTTGTGCTGAGGGACATGGTTTAGTGGGAGCTAATGGGAATAGGTGAACGGTTGGACTGGGTGATCTTTTAGGTCTTTTCCAACCTTAGTGATTCTATGATTCTATGATTCTATGATTCTATGACTGCAAAAAAGGAAAAAGCTAAAATGTTTTAATAGTCGTCTTCTTTCCAAGTGATCAATGTCTTTTCTGAAATTCAGAATGTATAAGTTCTCCGGAGAACCTTCTAGGCCAGTGCTGAAGCACTAAGTTTATTCTGAATCTGCTAATTTCAGTGCTTGGAACAGCACTGAATATAATGTATCTGTATATACATCATGTATATAATGTATTTTTTTTATCATTAGTTGATATGACTTTCGTATTTTTAGTTCAGGTCTTTGGTAGCCCCTGAAGTAATCCTTCTTCAGTGCAAAAGTGGAACACTAAAAGAACAAGTCGACAACAGCACCAGAAAATAAAGTGAAAATATGTCACCATTTAGAGAGTACAACCTGATAACAGACCAACATATAAGGAGGCACATGAGGTAGGAGAACTTATAATTCTGATGGCTTTCTCTGAAACAGGTGATGGTGTGAGAGCTATTTCCTGCTATCATCATTCGGAGGAGCAGATCACACTGCAAAACAGGTGACGAAGGCAGCAGTTGTCCCTGGTGTAAGAGCAAAAGTAAAGGCGTATATGTTTGTAGACCAATGTTAGGGGACATAGATTCCACTGTGACAGGTGCAGTGTGAATGCAACATACACTTGGAAACAAAAGTGAGACATCGGAGGAAAGTGAAAATGGAAAACTTCAGATGCCAGGTGGAAAATGATATTAAAACTGTCAAAATAAGTCACAACAAAGACTGAGTTTCCTAGTAGGGTAACAGGAGTCATGTGCCAGAGGAGAATGGAGTTTTGAACTGCAAGAAGAAATATCATAAAAGTGAACGGTTACAAACATGTAAGGTTAAACTGGGGCTTATCTGTTAGGCTTTTTGCTTTGGTCTGTTGTTTGTTTTTTTCTTTCTGCTGTACCATAACAGCCCCGAGTTTTGTGGACAGGTCATAAAAGTGCAAATAGCATTTCTACTGGAGTAGTTACCTATTCTGGGCCTAATTCCAAACGCATTTAAATTAATGGCAATCCTGTTGGTATCAGAGGGTTATGGTTTAGGACCTATGATGGGAATATGGAGGTGTAAAATATACACAAGAAAGGCTGGTTACACAGCCCCTAAATCCATCTGAAATGATTTTCTAAAACATGGGAAGAGAATGAAGCTGAAGACTTTGAAGTACGTGTGTTTTACGTTGCATCATAATGAAGCTTTTATAATATCAGCTGCATATGTACAGATTCAGAAGATTATTCATAATGTGGTATCAGCACTGAAATATTAGCCCTGAATTGATGGAATACACACTCTTCCTTAAATAATTGCTTTGGATTTGTGTTGAATCATTGTAACATAATAGGTATGACTAATTTGCAGTCACTAAGGGTAAAAATTTTATGTTGTTCTTGCATTTGCAACTCTACAGATTTGTGGATAAGAGTAGCTGTGTCAAGGACATCTGTGGTAATTACAGGAATGCGCTGCCTTTGAGGATAAGGTCCAATAAGGTCAATGACCTAATTAATATATGGCTCATCGTTATATTCATTTTTCAGGAAGATTTTAATTTGCCATCCTTACAGCCTGTTACCACTCTCACAGCTTTACCACTGAGGTACTTTTCATGGCTGCACCTTTTGTAGAAATCCAGAGCTGCATCACGTGTGCTATCTTATGTACACTAAACACAAAGTAAAAAAGTCCCTGCCAAATTCTTTGGAAAAGGTCTCATGTGGCTCCTGGATACCCCAGTAGTGCTTATTGTATGCAGACGAGCACAGTATAATATTGGTGCTGGGCAAAACACCACCTTGTCTAATGGAACTATAAAGCCAAACAAACCACCAGCATTGCTGCTACTTTGAACTAAAGATATTTCACAAATGCTGCTTTCCAGGGGTCGCTTACACAGGTGAGGAAAACCATAAATTGGCGAGGGATACTTTTTAAGGTCAGTGAAGTGTTGAGTGGGATCTGGCTCATAGTTGGCTATAGCAGCTCTGCAATGCGCTGTGCAGCATTTAGAGGGAAGGCTCTACATCCTTCCTCTGCACTGGTTTCCAATAGAGTATGAATGATAAGTGGGCCTTGTGAGATGTTTGAGTGTTGGAAATCGCTAGTCTGGAAAGGTACACAAGATTAAATGTTAGTCTCTCAAATCTCACCAGTTTACCTCAAAAACATTTTTACAATACCTTTGGAGAACACTTAATCCAAAACTTGTTCTCCTTGAATAACCAGCAGTGGCCTAAAGTATAATATAATGATGTTTATATAGCACTCCACTGCCTCTATGAATGTACTACATCAGCTTTGCACAATACTTAAGCTGCAAAGGTAAGAGATGCTGAGCGCTGCCATCAGCCAGCTCTTCAGCAGCACTCGGAGAGGTGGCACCAGGCTGAGTGCCTCCGGATGGGAAACACGGGAATCACTTCAAATACTTTGAAAAGTGGGAAAACCAACTGAGTTACACCGCGTGGCCTCCAGCTGAGCAGGGACAGAAGGTTCAGGGCCTACAACTAAGACTGAGGGCCACTGTTCTGACTTTCATGTCATTTTTTCTAAGTGATGAGATTTGTTGGACTGAAATAGTTAATCCTTTGTGCAGCTCTCTGTTTTCAAGCTATACTGAGGAAAGCAAACAAAAAATGTAGCCTTTCTAGATTACTAGCTCTAAGCTGCTACAACTCAAACTTTTAATTCAGTTCATCAGAAACGCTGTGGTGCTTCTGTTTTTCATAGCCTTGGTCTGTTAAATAGTGTTAGATAATTTCCTTTCTTTTAGTAATGAGTACAATACAACAGTGGTTGTTGGATGTGTGTCCTATATTAGTTTCATTTTAAAAAAGAAAAAAAAAAAATTGAGAACATATCTTGTCCTTTTTTAGAAGGCAAAAGTACTGAAATTAAGTTTAAAATACCTTTTCTTTAAATGTTGAGGATATAAGTTTCTATGTTCTCCTTGCTGCAGTCTCAGAAAGATGCTCTGAAACTCAGTGTACAATTCTCAGGAGCAAGGACTCCATTTTAGCAATGGTTGAGATCCCAGCTAGGTTGCTGGATGTTAAATGTGAAATTTCATTGCAGCTTTCCCTAATAGTATTTAGGATTGTTGTGCATTACCAGATTGATTCTTGATGAAAGTTGAGTTGTTTTGCCATTAGCAACTACTTTTGATTAAGGCAGCTTAAAAACTTCTTGTTTAAGTAGGTTAACAGAGATGATGATGTCACTGAATTTGAAAATAAGGTCCAGCAATTGGCCCAATCTGAAGAGGATGGAGGAAAGGAAGCAGAGGGTCTGAGCTGTGAAGCTAGTGATGATTTGTCAGACTCGCGTGATGAAGATAAAAACCACAGATATGCATCTCCATCAGTACAAGCAGTTATAAGAAATCCCAAGTATCTAAAATGTCAAACGAGTGCTTCACCTCAGAAGAAAGGTAAACAGTTGACTAAAATATTTGTAGTTAATTATTTGATAACATATTTTAAGTTAGATTTTGAAACAAGATGAACATGATGTGGTTTTTAAAACCTCCAGGGAGCTGTCAAAGTTAAGGTTGGGAATAAATGAGTAATATAATGAATAAGCCTAATAATTTATATAATCTTCCTTGGTCCGTTCAGCTTCAAGATTCAGGGGTTTATGGATGAGCTTAGAATGGTTGCAACTTGCTGGTTGAGAGTGGTAGGCAAATACCAGTGCCTGTCAGCAAGGTTATCTCCCAGAACCTAAATAAGAGTAATGGAACGTAGCTGTCTTAATATTTCAGGAATGTTAAAAGTGTGTTGCAGAGGTTAAGGACTGGCTGAAAGGGCATGTAATGTGACTTTCCCTAGAATCTGCATGTCTGTACTCTGAAAGTTGGGTGACATCAGTGGAGTTGAAGAATCTGTGGATGTGTCCCTCATAATATCTGGATATGAAGGTATACTGGTGGAGGAAGTTTGAAGTATGGATGTTGTACCAATCAATAACGTCCCTTGGTTTGGATACTGTGTTTAAAGGAAGCACACTTAGCAGGTTTAACAATGCAAAGGAAGTTCTGTTCTGTGGGATGAATCCGTAATGAATAAACAACAATAAAGCAGTCTTGTTTGCTGTCACTCGAGTGTTAGCTGCATGTTCTGTGCGCTATGAAGCACTGTATAAAATGTATTCTGGTCTCAGCATGAAAAACATTACAAAGTGCACTTGGGAGCTGAGGCAACTGTTCTGGAAAGGCTCTTCTCATATGATCTATTTGCCATTTTGCAGTTCTCAATCTTTTTCAAAACTGAAAGTGCAGCATGCTTCCTCTTTACTTGGTACTCTCAAAGGAACTTGTTACTGCTGTGATAAGAACTTGGAAACGTTATATAATCCTGTAACTTTATTCTGTCTTCTTCAAGTAGTTGATCTTTCCTCGAAGTCAACTAATGATTTTGTAGCAGCTTTTACATCGTACCAGATTTTACTTTTCCTTACTGAAAGCTGAGGATAGCTTAGCCTGCCATACCCAAATCTTCACATTTGTTAGCATTAATCATACAGCTGACAACAAGAAGTGTGTTGCATTGTTTAGAAGTGCCTTCATGAACCACATCTTAGCCATTTTCATCTTCTCTTGGAGGTGGGAGTTAGACCAGAGGTAGGATTTCTAGAATTAGGTTCTGAACTATATCACTAATGCGTGGCACTATCTTGGGGTGAGTTGCTTAAGTTTAAATAGCTACATTACAAAAAGACAAGCTGTCAGGCAGAAATTATTGCATTTTGAAGCACCTTTATGTATAAATTTGAGGCAGTTTTCCCTAAACTAGAGGCACTATCTTGAATTCAGTACTATTTTTGAAGAGTGAAGTCATTCTTTTGTATCTCATGATCTAAATGCGTCTTTGTTCTCACAGGAGAAAAAGCAGCCTTCAGCTGTGAGTTGTGTACATGCACCTCGCTCAAGGTATCAAGTCTGAACCGCCACAGGAAAATCCATTCTAAAGGAAAACGTCACGTGTGTCCCATCTGCCTCAAGGCCTTTCGAACAGCTGCTCTCCTGCAGAACCACGTGAATGTGCATGCAGGTATCTAATGTGTCTAGTTATTCCATTACATATTGTCTGCAGGATTTAATCCACGGGCAAGTGGCAGACGTAGAGGTGGATTCTGTGATCGTTCTGTCCTCAGAAGCTTCACCAGTTTTGTTTGGAGTTCTGCACTGACAGGATGTGGTCTGTTTGTGATTCCCTGTTACCTTTTGCCATTCTAAGAATTTTTATCAGCTGAAAATTTGCTTCGGTTTTGTCGGATTTTTGTATGCATGATAGAAACTTCTCTGATGATTTCTTTGTGACTGTTTAGCAATGTGAAGCGAATTGACAAAGCAGGTGTTTATGATCAGTATGTGGGGGATGTTTATTGTCTATTTAAAAAAAAAAAACAGAGTCACAAAAAGGTTCTGGCAAAAATTGTGTTGATTTAATGCAGACAAATCAAACAGCTGTTAAATAAGGATCTAAGAAACGATATATTCTCACAGGGACCAGGCCCTGTAAACGCAGTGACTGTGATATGGCATTTGTGACCAGCAGAGAGCTTCACGGCACAGGTGTTACAAGCATACCTTTGAAAAACCTTTCAAGTGTTCAATGTGTAAATATTCAAGTGCAGAAGCAAGCACAGCATTTCCGAATCCTTTGGGGAAAGTTGGTAGGCTTTCAGATACTAAGCTGTATATGTCAAGCTCAGTATTAATGCTTGGCTTGCAGTGCAAATGTACAGCTGGACAGTGCATGGCCAAATGGCCAAAGTTGACATTGTATAAAACTTGACTTGTGAAAGGACCACAGGGGCTACAAAAGTGGGGAAACAATCGTGCTTAGTTCTATGTAAGTCAATAGTATGGTAGATTTAAGTGGTTCTAGAAGTGAGCTCATGAAGTATGCAGGAATTCTACAGAAGGTAACTCCTAATTTTAACTTGCATACTTGTTATTTACGTAGGACAGAACACAAAAACAGTGTTAAAAAATAGAATGAATTAGGCTTCTGCAGTGAATGTTCTTTGTATGAACTTGAAGATGAATAAAGGCTTTGGCTAACAAGTTTGGGCATTTTAAATTTGGTATACAGAGTAGCATGAAGGTAATTGGTGTTCTTTTCAGCCAATTTTAAAATGTGGCTTTTTCTGTTCTCATGTTAAGGGTTCTCCTTTTACTTATGTTGGTACTAAAGATGGAAGCAAGATCATCTGGGGGAAGAGTACAGAATATCAGCTAAAACCAGCACAGGCAGCACTAAGTCTGTAACGGATGCAATATTTAAAATTGCAGTAGATGTATGTTGTGAATGTCCTGATATTTCAATTGTTCATACTTCTATAAATGTAAATGTTACTGCAGAAATTGTCTTGTTTTTATGCCAGGCAAGTAAACTGCAGTGACACATTTGCTCACATACAGGAGAGCGTCCTCATGCATGTTACCTGTGCAGCTATGCTGGCAAAGATGCATATAAACTGAAAAGACACTTGGCAATCAGATACACTTGGAATCAGGTAGGATTCCCCAATGTAATGATTTATGCTTGTGTCTCCTATAGGCCTTCAAAATTCATGGGTTTCCTTGTGACCTAATTTCAGACTGTAAATCACAACGCTTTTCATTCGTGATTTTGAGTAAAAGCATACCCGAAAAGCACATTCTTTGTGCAGTTTGCTTATTCCACATTGTTGTGACCTCAGATTGATCTTGCCCAAATTGACTGTAATGTGCACACTGTCTGAGAACATAGTATCTACCTTATCTACCTCATAATTCAGGTTTCACATCAGTTCAGTCACAGTGTGATGTGTGCCTCATGTTAGCACGAATGGCAGTGTGTTTCACATCTCCTAAATATGCCCACTTATGCTTTGGTTTACATTTCAGAGCAATCTGGTGCAAACAGACTAACTTCTTTTTCGAGGAATTGACCAGAAATGTCTAAAAGTGGGCCTCGTGTTGCCCAGTCATGGTGGGGGCTCAGCCCTTAGGGCCAGGAGTTGGCTCAAAACCTCAACACTGGATGTTTCTCTGTGCTCTTAGACTGTGCTTTCCACCAGCACTGACGTAATTTTTGATGATATTCAGAGCTGATGTGAATTTCTGGGAAAGAAAGTCAAGGAAAAGAAAATATTTCCCCAATATTGATGGCTGGGGTTGAATCAATTTTATCTTGATGTCGCAGCCATTCACTTCCTCTCCTTGTGCACTCAATTGTAACACTGCATGTTTGTACGTGGAATGGAATCCATCCACGAGATGGGATAAAAGGTAATGAAGATAATTCCTGATTAATAATTTAGAATTAATGGTTTTATGCTTCATCAGGTTGACTTGCAGATTCAGGAAACCAGGAGTTTGCATAGGAATGGGCTATGTAAACTTGCTGGCCTTTCGTGCATTGCAAGGTAACGTTACATTTTGCTTGGTCTGGCTGTTGCTGTTAAAGATTAGATGTTCAGATCTGTGTGAATGTAGTGTTTGTATCAAATACAGGGTTCCTAAGCATATATTCACATTTTAATAGGTGAAAAACCACACGAATGTTACATTTGCTACACCAAATTTGCTCAGAGTGGTAACATGAAAACACACATAATAAGGAAGCATGGAGAAGATGTGCCAAAATACCAGTGTCCACACTGCAGTGCCTATATTGCACAGAAAAGAGATTTGGGTGAGTTTAAAGCAGGGGGAAAAGGGAATGTAGAGATAATTAGGGCCGAAATGTTTGTAACTGTTGCTGCTTGTAATGAAACCAAATGCGTTCTGTGACTTTACATCATTACAGAATATGCTATAGAAAATGTGGTCACTGCTGATCTGCAGGGAAACTCCTGCAAGGAGATGGGGTGACATCTTGTGGCTGATGCTTTAAGCTGTTTAAAATACAAAACATCAAGTATTTTGGTCTTTTTCCCCTCCAGGATACCTGTAGGACTCTGAATTTGCTTATGTCAATATCCACTATTATTTTCAGGCTACAAAACAATCATGAAACATTGAAGGGGATACAATAAACTGAAATGCCTCTTCTCTGGCTGGGATCTTCTCCCACAATGTAAAAAATAGAGCACTGCATGAGTCCATTTTTATCCTATACGCAGGAAATTGATTTGTGTTTTTCCCCACTGTCATCCATATCAAACAGCGTTGGCATACAGATTGACACTGAAAATAGAAGTTAAAATTATCATACATAGTTCTAGAGATGCAAGCCCTTGGGGTTTTCTGGTGATTCCATGTACTACATTTTTGAGCAGCTCTTGTTTGGAAGGCTACTAGATTCAAATCCCTGTAAACTCACTGTGGCTTTGTTTCATGAGTAAATTCAATTCTCTTCTAGGAAGAAAATATTCTTGTAGGGGTAAGAGTTTTATTAAGAAATCAGTATTAAGAAACAGAGTGTATTTACTTATTTTAAGTGATTCAGTTGACAAATACCAAGAAGAGCTCAATGCAGTGTTAGATTTTTTGAAGTTATGAAATGGCTGTATTAAAAATATTTAGGCAGACAAAGTTGCCTTCTGTATCTATCTGTGTTTTCAGAAAGGTGCCACTTAACAGATGTAAATATTTCAAGGTGGAAATGGGATTATTATCTACATGTCACAATTCCTTTGTATATACAGACTGCTTTGGGTAGCATTTTGAAATTAATCTTGTGCAGGTGAAAGCAGTTGCTGGAATTTTCAAAAGGATTTGATTTGTTAAACAGTTTTCATTAAAATCAGTGATATTTCAGCTTATAAATGCTTAATTACTCTGGAATTGCTGCTGAGAGCACAGGTCTTCTTTTTCCTTCCATTTTCTTCTATAACCAATGTGTAACTCGGGGCTATGCACAACCTAACTCTTGTTCAAACTTGTGGAGATCCAAAATTTGCCATTAAAATAATTATTTTGACTGCCAGGTGCCAAAACGTGCCTCCATACATGGAATGGCAGTTCAATGCAGTCACTGTGAAGCTGCCTTTCGCAACCATTGCGCTCTTACTCAGCACAAGAAGATTCACAGGGATGGAAAAAGTTTCAAACGTGATCAGTGCAGCTCTGCATGCAAGCAGCTATTTCAACTCACCGACAAATTATTGCACATTAAGTGGATGACTTGGCAAGGCAGGGTTCACTTTGGGTATACTTAAATAAGATAAAGATTTGTTACTGCATTCTGGCTAATGTGGGGTGGTTATGGTTTATTTGCAAGAAAAATGGTTCCTAAATGAAAAATAAAACAGGAATGCAGAAAAGTGAGGCTGTCTTGTTACATCTTTTGGATGTTCACAAGTATAAAGGAAGAATGGTCCACCTCAGTGACGTGAGAACAAAGGCAAATATTTGTGCTTTGTGTGATTTTTCAGCCACATTTCTCACCCAGTGTCGCTGGGTAAAATCGGTCTGAGCACGTAAACATACCCACAAACACGGTCAGGATCACATTGCTTTCCAGCCTTAAGTGAAGACTGGACTTTGGCAGTGTATTCCACTTTTAATTAGTTGCTGTGTTGCTTACCTTTGCTGTCATCTAATGTACAGCACACGAATACCACAGGCCTGTGTTGTATTTCTTTATGTTGCAGCACAGTCAACACTTTAGAAACTTAGCAATACTTTTCTCTGACTTACAGGGAGAAAAAAAGGGGGAGGGGAGATCTCTAGTCCAGCGAGTGTGTGTGTGCTCAAATGAAGGCCCACAGGTTCTGATCTGTGTGTAGCTCTGACAAATACTTTTTTATACATCTGTAAAATCCAGAATGAAAGCATCAATTATACTGCATGTATCTTCTGCTGAACTGATAGTATGGAGAAATACGAAGGTTGATCCAACAGTGATGTCTCCTACTTATTTCCATGGAAACTACAAAAGATTTTAAAAAAACCAAACCATAATAGCACTATTTGATAGAGCAAATTGTCAACGTAAAAGCATCTTCATTTTGCCCTCATTCGAAGCTTTCCCATTGCTTCCTTTCTCAGCCATCTGAAAAATCTGTCTTTTTGCCCATTCACAAGGCCTGTAGTGTGAACAGCATTTTTTGTCTTTGTTGTTGTTATTGTCCTGGGTGAAATTGAGTACCACTACCTTGCCATAAGAATGCTAGACGGTATGATAAAAAAAGCTCTTACATAATAGAATGGTTTGGGTTGGAAGGGAACCTTAGGATTGTTAGGACCTTCTAGCACATCAAGGTGCTCTAAGCTCCATCCAGCATGGCCTGAACACAGCTGGGAATGGGGCATCTGCAACTTCCCTGGGAGCGTGTTCCACTGATTCACCTGGTTGTGGTCGTTGCAAACAGGAATGACCTCAGGAGGAGAAGCTGTGACCTTCTCCAAGGGACTGGGCAGCAACTGATGCATTCCTCAGCATCTGCTTACAGTGGAGGGTAATGAAGGAGCTGTAGTGCTCTTGTCCTTTTCTGCGTGGATTTGTCCTTTTCTGCGTGGATTTGTTGAATGTGATACACAGCTGGATAGTTATGTTGCAAATATGTTCTTTGTTTCAGAAACGTCATTTAATTGCACGTAAACTAACTCATAGTGATGAGAAGTCTTTCACTTGCTCATGCTGCAGCAAAACCTTTCAACAGAAACAGCTTTTCACAATTCACTCTAAGCAGCATTGTGATTCCAGTGTGAACTCTACAGCTTATGAATGCCTAAATGTGGTACGGGCTCCTCACTCTGGGGAAGATGCTTTGTTTTAAGGAATCTCTGTGGAGTTGTCTTTAAGAATCTAGTATTATACTGATAGGAGGAACAGAGAATAAGAAGCAGTTTGCTGGGTGGAATGTTAACTCCTTAATGCTAAACCAGCAGAGCAGATTTTTGGTGTCTTTTTTTTCCAAGCATTACTTGGGTCAATTAATAACTAATAATTAATAATAATTATAGTATTCCCATTTTGGCAGAGAATGTCTGCCACATCGTGCATTCAGAGCTGGTACTGGCTTGTACAGTCTGGTATGGAAGTTATTCATTTTGAGCACAGTAGCCTTTTCAAACTAAGAGGCAGCATGGAGGTATGAATTTTAAGACAAATTGAAGAACTCAAGTAGATAAGTGAAGGGAAAGAGTGCTAGGACCAGTTCAGCCAGAAAATTACCATGAAATTATCATTCACTTGTTCAAAAGCTGTGTGCTGTGAGGTGTGTATCCATTTCTGGATCAAATGTGCAAATTTCTAAAACAAATGTAACCTTTTTTTCCCCCCACAGATTTTACGTTTTTGCTTATGCATGGATCAGAAGAAAAAAAAAAAGAGTGAATGAATATGAAATCAGATGTACAGAGCTCCTCTCCAACAGAATTTTAGCATGTGTTCTGAACAAATCTCCAGGAGTTCTATGGAGGTTGTTAACTAAGTTAGCCCTTCACACAGTGTACAAAATGTGCCTGCCAAAACAATTTGGGGGGGGGATTTTTTGTGTGTGTTAAAGCTCTTACATATATTAATATTTGATTCAGGTATTTGTGGCTCATTATGCTAACAGGGCGATGCGCACAAGCATCCTGAAAACTGTGGATTGGTGAGGGCCAACACTGCTACATCCAGCAAAAGAAGCAAGGATAGAAGGAAAGAAAGGGAGAATCTAAAGCATGCTAAGCAAGAAGGTAATCAGTGAATAAGTTAGAATTTAATCATGTAAATTAGAATCAAGAATAAAAGGCTAAGGCGGTGAATCTTCCCTGCTGCTTAATTACTGTTTCACAATGAAGCTAATTTAAGTGCTAAGAATGGAGGAATGCTTTAGAATAGTCTGGAATTGCTGAGCAGAAGTTCTGCTCAGGTACTTGTTCTGGGCCTGCTGCTCCCCAGCTCCTGCAGATATCTTCCTAAACTCCCTGCTCAGCAATGCTTACAAATGCGTTTTTTCCTTTCCCTTTTACAAACTCACTTTGCCTTTATAAAGGTGAATGAAACACTCATTGCTGAGTTGAGTCGTAGTGAGTTTCCTTATGAGCCCATTTTTGATAATGCACTGCTTTAATACAAACCAGACTGGAACATTTTCATTTTCAAAACTCAAATTGCACATCAATCTCAATATGCATCCTAATGAAGAAATTGTTCTTCTCTTGTACTTGGATCAGATAATGATCCAGCAATAAAAACTCCAGTGATTTGAATAGCTAGAGTCACCCTTCTGTCATGCAGCAGAGGTGACCAGGCCCATTTACAGAGCTCTTGGCTCAGCATGTCTGTGCAGCCAGAAGGGCACTTGTAATCCTTAGTGATGCTCAGTAGCTCTTGAGCACTGAGCACTTATTCCTTCAGTGTAAGACAGAGGATGGTCTGTAGTTAATCTCTTTCCTTCTCTTTCTTCTACTTCCTCATCTTTTCTCATTAGGTAAAGGTTCCTAAGAAGTGAATCAATTCAGATAACTCACTGGCTGAGCTCAGTCAGAGATCTCCATAGGGGCAATAGCAGCACCTGTGCTGTCTGCTGGCGTATTCCTGGCACAAGTATTTCTCTTTGCAACTCTTAGAAGAGATGAAGTTAACTTTAATACTCTTAAACCTTAGAGTGTCATCACATGCATGGTAATATTCTAGCAATTTTACCTTACAGTCTAAATTTGATCCAGAGATGTTTCCTTATTTATGTGCAATTCTGTTGACTAGGCAAAGCACAATATACACAAAATTCAGTTAGGCAAGGCCATGGGCAGGATCCTGGTCTGCTCATGCATCAAGAGACAATTATGGAAATAGATCTGATGCCCAGGTGTCCTCAAACATCACATTTTGATACAGCAGGTTATACCTATACTGATTTGTGGCCAATGATATGGAGACAAAATTTGACACAGTGAGAAATGTTGAAGCCTTTCAGAATCTAATGAATATATATCAGCAGCTGAGTTTACATGAGCATTGACATTTCTGTTTTCACTGGTAAGGCTGTAATGGTATGGTTAGAGAGAATCTTACAGCTGCAGTGTGTACGCTTTTGCAATAATTAGATTTAGCTGTTTATTAATGTTTTGGTACATGCAAACAATATATTTTTGGTATCTTTCAGATCCTTTCATCTGGAAGCTTCAATTTCTACCCTAAGATAATGTCTCATTAGATACTGCTCATGCAGATATTCAGTCTGTTATTTGACACACACAACTTTTAGAATTCCTGTGCCAGTTCCAGATTTTTTTTAACACAGTTGACATTTTTGGTGTATACATCGCTGCTCACTGCTTGCACATCATGCAGGGCCTGTGGGATCCTCTGTGTGCCTTCATTAATGGCTGTTATCATGAGAGCTGAGCCCTTGTTAGAAATGGCTTGTGGCTGCTGCCATCAGTGATTTGCTGGAGCACACATTTTCTTTTTTTAATTGTTGATGATATTCTCATATGAAAATTAAATTTCCACACTTCATGCTTAGTTTTCTTCTCAACCTATAATGAGTGCTGCTTACTTACCTGGCTCCTCATATAATATTCAATGTAAAATAGTTCCATTCTCTAAATAAATTGAAAGCTAAGACATGATGTTATATACTGGAACTATTTTATTCACTACATTAAACTGTCTAATACTGGAAACTATTGAAATATTTGCTTGTCTTTCTGGTTAATCATCACAATATTTAATTTTAAATATAATAATAAAAAATCTGCAGTTGTTCCCAGATGTCTCTACTGTGAAGAGTGAACATTGTGCCAGGGAGATTCTTCCTGTTTTAGAAGGAATAGAGGCAACAGCTTTGAAAGCAGAAGACAGAACCACTTTGTGAAATGGCTGTGATGGACTGACGTCTGAAAGTTATAGGGAAGCTTCACCTCTTGTATCACATTCACACAACAGGATGAAGAAAACCAGCTAATTTTGAAGTAAGTTACAAAAGATAGGATTCTTTCTGCTTGAATGTCATTTTTCTTCTAGATTTACATACAGAATTCTGGATTTACATGCTGACCTGAAACAGATTTATTCTTTAGTAATCTGTACAACTGAGAGCTGTGCGAGCTTCAGTCTGTTTGCATTTTCCTGAGGTGAGAAAATGAAAGGCAACGATGTTTCAATGTAAGGAACATTTGCTAACTGTCCTTTCAGTGAACACTCCCTATCTGATGTTTGTGGCAATTACTAGGAGTCAGTTTGTTTCATTTATCAAGATTATTCACTCCATTCCTCCTTCCATTATAGCAGTTGTTATTAGAGCGTTTAATAAGGTTTAATAATTCTTGTTTTGTGTCTGTTTCATGTAGGTTTTCATTATTGTTATAAATTCTGAGCAACAGATTTCTTTGTTGAAATTCATCTTTGACGTCTGTAGAAGCTACTTTATCAATGTTCTGAATATATTGCTTGCTTCAATTGTTAATAACCAAGCTGAATGCTATCATGTGCTGGGGTCCGAGCATCAGACTATGCAAAGAGGAATGTAAAAGACAAAAATAAAAGATTTTAATGAAGTTGAAAAATGACTATTGAACAGTGAGAAGCCAGAATGTGTCCTTTCTGAAATCAAGAATGAATTCTTTCAACTTGTTCAGGAGTCATTCCTTATGGACTCATGCTTTTTAATTGGGAACACTGATTGCTCTTTGTGGTTCAGAACGTGCATTGCCATGGCTTTCAGGTGATTAGTTTACAGAGTTAACGGTGTTATTTCTACCTTTAAGATCAGTACACATTTATTTCTTTCCTTTAAAAGCCCTTACTCTGAACAGATGCCAATTTTTACAAACTTGATGTTACCCATTATAGAGGAGTCATCAAACGCTCAGGAGCGGCTCACGTCACGAGATAGAAATTCACGGCAGCGCTGCCACGGCTCGGTGCTGTGAGCTGCGCTGCCCTGGGTTGGTGCTGAGCGCTGCGGGATGGAGGCGATCGGCAGCGCTTCCTGGAGATGGCAGCACCGGTTCGCATCTCTTCCGACAGCAGACCAGCAAAAGTTAGACGCGCGACAAAGATGCTCCGATTCTTTTTCTTTTTCTTTTTTCTTTTTTTTTTTTCTTTTTTAATTAATTTACTTATTTATTTTTGCCTTAGAAATCAGGTGTCTCGCTTAACATCTTACGCAGGTCAAGGCTAAACAAGAGCTTTTGTTAGCTGTTTTTCTTAGCAGACGAAGCTCCAGTTGTCACTATGAGCTGCAGCCTCGCTGCCAGGAAGGAGGACGGCTGTGAATCTGCCTTGCTCCCACAGCAGCGCTGCTGGGATGGGCTGCAGGGCAGTGTGCTCAGGGGGCTCAGCCCCAGCGTACAGCCTGCCTTCCTCGGGGCCGTGCCAGCCTGCACTCCTGTGCCTGTGTGCTCCTACAGTGGCGTAGGAATGGTGCACAGTGTCACTGTACACATGAGGGCATCTCAGCATGCTGTGATCTGGGATTTCACCGCACAGTGATCTTTACCTTTTGCCTAGGCAGTGTTCTGTAAGAGCAGAGAACAGCGAGTTTCCAGCTTGTTTCCATTCCTGAATTGTCCCCTTTCCAAGAAATTGACTGTCATCTTAAATTCCTGATCCCCTCTCCTTCATATCCAAAATAACTGCTTGTGTCTTTTAAATCTTGCTGGTTGCTGAGTCTCAGTAACAAAACACACTGACTGTCATCTGCTCAAGATCTTCACAGCGATTACTTTTTTTTGTTAGTTAGAATTAATTTGTTACTGTTATTTAACAGTCTCACAACTGCAATTGGAAAACGTGCACAGCCACAATTTCTCTGATACCAGCTTGCACTGGTGCACGTTGCCCTGTTCTGTAAAAGAAAGAGTCCAGTGACAGCGGTGGGACCACAGAGCTCAAACCTGAGGTGACCTCATGGCAGTGCTGCCTGGTTCCTTCCCTGATGGGCAGTGCTGGTACTGGTGGAAGCAAAGGCGTTGTGCTGCTACAGCTGCAGCCAGAGCTCCCTGCCCACAGCTCTGAGCACACCTCCTTTTCCTCCCTGCTCCCGCAGCTCTATTAGTTGTTATCTGTTGCTGTGAAAACCTGGCAGCTCCCTGCAGCAGCAGCTATGGCTGCCTCCATTGTACGGAGGAGGAAGATGAAACAGAAGAAAATTAATCTCTGATTTAATTCTGCTTTTAGGAGCAATGAGACCCACTGATGATACAGTGCGCTGCTGTCTTATTGCTTGTTTAAGTCATCTCACTGAACTCAAAAAAGAAACAGGGGTGTGGCAGCATGCAGTGATCACGTTACATTAGAAAGCAGTGAGCAAATGTGCAAGGACCTAAAGACATTAAGCTGGTGCTGTTAATCTCCTCCAGAGACATTAAACTCCAGGTATTAAAATTGAAATAACATTCATAACTTTGCAAAGGTCAGAGCTTAGGCTGATGTAAAAGCACCATGGCAGCACAACTAAAGGCTGTGGTTGTGGCTGGTGGCAAAGGGTCTCGCGGGGAGGAAACGTGGATGGAGATTCAGCTGTTGGTAACAAGGAAGGCTTACAAAGGAGATGCAGGTTCAACAGTCTGAAGACCTTCCAAAAGTAGCAAGAGTGAAATGAGGAACTCTTATGGGTACAGATGCAATGTGGCCTCCTGCAATGAAGGGAGCTGCTCTGTGTGACTGATGGTGGTAGAGGCGTGCGGGACAGAATGCTGTGTGCTCTTACACTAACTTCCACTTGCACAGTTTAATATTGATTTTTTGTTTTGTTTGAGAAACTAAATGCGCATCTGAAAGCAATTGACATTAATACAGCATGCCTGCAGGCAAACGTCATTGGTGTTGTTGGGCTCTAGACAGCCCAGCTATTGTTTGAAGTCAGTTGCAAACCAGTTGGGTTCTGCCTAGCATCACAGGGCTGTGTGAGCTTATGGGGGGGTGTGAGCAATGCGAAGGTGTGAAGAATCTTCTGACAGTTTTCAATCTGTTTCCATTTTGAATCGGCACTTGAGGATGAAGAACTTCGCTTCTTACTCCTGTGGCAGCTCACCGCTGTGATTTAGTTTATTTCTAGCTTTGATTTTTTTTCCAGCTGTGGTCTGTTATTAGTTGTGTCCTTGTCCTGCTCACGCAGCAGCACTCACAGCTAATGGGGTGAAAGCAAGGAGGGATGTTACTGTTTGCTTTTGTTACCACCTTACCCAAGAGTATGTAGCAGCTAATGGTGACTGTAATTTAGCCTGGGAACTGCTACTTATTTTCTGGAAGGACTGTATGCTGGGAGAATTAAGCCATACCCCTTTAGGGCAGGAGTGATTCTCCATTGTTTTGCTATAGCAATTCATCTGTCCTTTTCCCATAATAATTCACAATAATTTAAGTTCTAAAAATGTTTCCAGTAGTTATTTACCGTCCTATATTAAATGTTCTCCTGGAACTGAGTCATTCACGCCATGTTGCTTTGCATTGCTGACTCCAAATTAAGATCACTCCATTTAAAATGGGCTGTATCCCCCAGGCCATGCCCTCTGACAACACTTCTGCTGGTGTTTCAGTACCAGCTGTGTGGCAGTAAGCATAACAGTAGTGATAATGCAAGACTGTGCTCCATCTTTGCATAGGTGCAAATCATTAGCAGTCCCTTTTAGCTCAGTGTAATGCATTACAGTTAGATGGGAGCTGGGACAGTGCTCTCTCCCTACTAGGGTCACGTCCCAGAAATAATGGGTGACCAACAGACCCCACAGAGGACTGAGGCATTCGGCACCTTTTAGAACTAGGAGATGCATCCGTATTTTGCATGCAAAAAGATCTTTTCTGCTTGCCTTGAAATCCCTAAAAGCAATGCAGCATTTTCAGAGGGCGCCTGCTGCTTTCCTCACGACAGCAGTGCAGCACAGCAGTGAGCTGCTGCCAGTCCCTGCCGCCCGCCTGGCAGATGCAGGAGAGCTGCAGGAGGTCACGGAAATGGGCAGGCAGGCTGTCCTCATCGCGGGGTTTTCTCTTTCTCAGAAGCAGATGATTGAATAGAAACAATAGGCTGCTTTCCCCATTTGATGATGAAGACTGACAGTTTGTAGGAGATGAGTCAAAGGTTACTGATGAGAAGATCCATCCAGATAATTGCCGTAATTGTACCCTGAGGATGCAGCTCCTATCACAAAGCCAGAGATTGTGATTCTATTTGTATATAAATGCTTGGCAGAGAACTCCATCCTTTGCCTTAAATGAAGAGAATTCCTTCATGAGATACAAATGGAGAAAGTTCTCCTAAATTTTCACATTTGTGATACAGAGACCCAGGATTAGCTACAAAGGTGGTATTTAAACCCAGACAGTCAAATAACCAGTTGGATGTGATCTCTAACAAATTAGAACGTCCTGAAAATAAAATTCAGCAAGTGTGACAGTCAGATGGGGGGTTGGCAGCACGAGCTTCAAAAATAAATAGTCTTTAATTGCAGGAAATGACAGTGAGCAGCTCCTTGGCATCACTTCTCTCAGTGCTGTGCCTGCACAGCCAGGTGGCCGGCACTCCTCCTGCTGTGTGCGGTGTAAAAAGTGTGGGCACATGGCAGGGATGGGGACTGAGGGTGGAGGGTTTGCCACCAGGACCCCGAGCAGCTCTGAGGGCTGTGTCCTGTGACTGCAGTGCAAATGGTACATCATGGCCTGAAGCAGTGATGGAGCACCTGGTGGGAAGGCGGGGCCAACCCAGGGGAGCTCAGGTGAAAGCAATGCATCTGAGTGGTTGAAGGGCTGGAGCCAGGATCCACCCCTTCCAGCCCTCATTTAAGGGGTGACGGTGAAAGTGAAGGTATCTCATTTGGTGATGCTGGTGTATGACAGGGTTTTGCAGGCATCCAGAAGGTAAGCAGCTTCTTTCTCTTATTTCTGCACCCACTGTTATCACATCTAAGCAGGTCTTCACTTGCTGAAGTCTGAGATGTTGCTGCTCTTCCACCTTGTTGTATTTTCTTTTCTATCATGTCATAGCATTGCAAGGTGGGCAGACAGTGAGAAGTCTGGGCACAGAAGGCTGCTGAACTTTTTTTTTTCTTTCAGGAACCTTGGCAAAATAAATGAACTAAAAAAGAAGTGGAACTCTGTTCATCCCTCATGTACTGATTGCTCCCTCACCTGACCCTTCTAAATAGTAAGTGAAAAGGAACAAATCCTTCATCTTACACCTCTGAACTCTGGCACCGGTTTGGTTTGTGGTGTGATCTGCTGAGAAGCCTCCTGCTGGCTCTCCATGTGCTGCAGTATCCTTACCCACGGCATGCAGTCTCTGTATGTGTTAGAATTAAACAAATGAGAAAGTTGTGCAGCTTAGACCCTCTTCCAAACTTCAGTAATTGTCTTTTTCCCCCCAGTTTTAGAGAACACAAATCCATCCCACACAGCTCTCACGATTACTGCTGGTTTATAACTGGGCAGAAGAGAAGCAATTGGTGCAAGAGGCATTGCTTATGAGACAGTGCCTAAAAATACTTCCAAAGGTCACTGCACATCAGACGGAAGGCAGTGCTTGTGCCAGTGCCTTGCCCTGAGAAATGCAGGTCTTTGTTAATACTAATAGTGTATATTTTAAACAACCCGTGTTTTAAAAACACAGCTCAAACAGGCAGCAGTGAATGCTTTGTGAGCCCTGAGAGATGGAGGGTGCTTCCTCACCCATGGTTTTGGGCACAGATGTTTGCTGTTCTTGTTAACTTCAAGGCTTGTCAATCAGAGCTGTATCACACATGTGCTTGTAGAAAAGTGGGGGCATTTCCATATTTGCTGTTTTCAAGAATACCAGTGAAGCAACAACCCAGGAAGTACCAAGAGGATTTGTAGCTTGTCGTTTGTGCAGACATTCACCATGACTGTGCTTATAATTGCAAACATGGGCACAGAATGAGAGATGAAGGCCCAGCCCCATGTGCTCTCAAGTCTCTTCCCAGAAGCAGATGAGTGCTGGGAGGTGTGAGTGATGTGTGAATAGTGCTGAGTGAGATTGCTGTGCTGTTGGTGTGGGATGAAGGCATGTATTTCCAGCATCTCAGAAGGGTAATCTTGCAATGTACCTCTTCTGTTATATTTGACCACTCGATTTCATCTCTGCCCACCAAATGCTTTTATTTTGGTTTTGAGAAAGCACAGTTGCTTGGATGGATATTGTGGAGCATTGGGCACTTGTGGGCATGCTTTGTACACGCAGCCTTTCCCAGCAGGATTCTGTGGGCTCTGTTCACCTCCCTGTGGCTGAGGTGGGAACACCCAGCGCTGTCTGCCAACTTCACAGGGCTCATCTCCCTACCATGGAATAAAACAACAAGCCTTCATCTCACTCCTGCTCTAGCTGTGCTGGGAGATGCTGGTTGCAGGGGGAGGTGCCCCCTCCTGGGCTCTCTCAATCCCCATCACCAGATGTCCCCACCTCTGCTCCCAAGAGGTCCCCAGGGTTTGCCCTTGAGGACCTGTCCCTGAGCATCCCCCACCAGCATCCTGTAGCTCTGCAAGCAATGCTCTTTTACCTTTTCCTCAAATCCCATTCAAACACACATTTGATGGGGAGATGGGCAGCAACATCTGCTCTCTCAGCTCACGGGCTCTTATTTGGATTGTAATTGCTCCATCGGCTGTGATCTGCTCTGTTTGCCCACTATCTGTTTCTGTTAGGTCTGGGCCTCCTACAAACCACCCATTATGTGGTGATGATAATTAAATCTCCCTGCCCAGGCCAGGCTGAGCAGCACAGGGAGAGCCTTCCTTGTCAGACAGTTGCCAGAGCTGCACCCCTAACGATGCCCCGATCACCTGCCTGCTCTGCAGGACAGGACACCTATTTGTTCCAAACAAGCTCTTTCAGCAGCTGTCAGATGCTAATGGCTTTCAGCTGCTGACAACCTGTGCCCTATGCAAACCAGGGGCACATCATGGAAATGTGCATAAATATTCATGTGTGGCTGACAAAACCAGAAGTGCAAATGCAGTTATCAGAGTTCTTGCATGAATGTGCTGTAGCCTGCCCTGTTGTGTTGGTTTTAGTATGATGGATACAGTGCAAATGTTCTGAAGTGATGTTGCCCTTTTATTTCTGTGATTAAAAATCCCCTGAAGGTGGTGGGGATGCAGAGGCACGTGGGTAAGAGCAGAGTTTGGGTCCCTCTGTAATGTGAGCAGTTCCAGACTGATAATGCTCTATTCTGTGGGTCACGTAGTGAAATTTTACTGAGATAAAGGAGTTACTTTGTTTTATCCTGTCTGTGCTCTATGAAGAGCTGAAGGTGTCTCAGTGGAACATGAGAACGCAGTGATTGTGTTCAGTGCTTCAGTGTTTGAATCAGCAATTTTCAGCACAGGGGGCTGCATGACTTGGTGAGGACCTGACAATCTCCCCCATCCCAGGTCCCTGGAGCATCAAAGTTTTGACACAGGCATGTTGTGAGCTGCGCAAACTCTTTCACCATTTAATTCTATCAATGGTTCTGCAGTGGATTACATAAAAATACTTTATTAGCAATGCACCTTTGTTTCCCCAGCAAGTCCTGGATAACTGTGCTGAGAGAGTGCATTCATGCAACGTTTCCATTAAATCTCACTGAAAGTTGCCATCTGTGGGACTGCATGAAAGGGGGTTGAGGGCAGCCGTTGAGTCCTGGCTGGCACTGGCCCCATGTGGGTTTGTGCAGGAGAGGCAGGTTATGTGCAGGCACCCATCTGATTGCTGTCCTCTGTCACTTGTGTGCCTATGTATCTGGGATGGACAGGCCCTGTGAACATGAAGCTAATTCAGTGTTTCAGATATAGATCACTTTTTTTTTAATTAAAAATTGTTTTGTCATAGTTACACAAAAGGGTTCAAATACTCTGCAGCTTGATGCAATAAAAATTAGAAGATACAGGTGTTGTTTATGAGCCATCAGATTTCCACTGCCACAGTGCTTTAGTAAAATGAAAAGGAGAAGAGAAAAGGAGAAGCAGAGCCGTGTGCTAATCCCTTCCTTTGTTGCTTAAGGGAGATTTCAGTGTAAAGTACCAATTTCCATATCATTTGAATAGCAGTTGCAGCCCATTGGTGTTTAAAGTAAAATGTGCAACTACTATAATCAGCAAAACAGATGCAAATGCCTTGTCTGTCTTCAAGACAGACAAGCCCCCTCCTTGCTGTCTCAATTAAATTTAGTGTGGAAAAACTCGATCAGATAATTAAAAACGGGAGCTATTCTTCCACTTTTCACAGCAGTAGCTGCTCCCAAGGCAGCTCTGGGTGTGGGACAGCCACCCTGCCCTCCCAGGGACAGCAGTGCCCTTCTGGTGCTGCCTATGCCCAGCAGCTCCCACAGCAAGTGTCTGCACATCTCTGCAAAGGAGAGGCATCACAAATAAATGACATTTAGTAGTTTGATCCCAGGCAGTTCTGTGGGGAGGGACAGCAGCACAGCAGGTTGAAGCCCCGCAGAGCCCCCTGATCCCAGCTCTGGGCAGCTGCAGTCCATCCTCAGAGGGCTTGAAATGTGGTTTGAAGAAAGAGTTTACTTTGTCCTTCGTGTTTCTGAATGAAACCACGAGCATGCAGTGTGTATCTCAGCTCCAGAAGGCTCGTCTCATCTTCTCCCAGATGGTGGGAGAGCATGGGGTGGGTGATGCCTCCCAGACAGGTTTCTAACAGAATGAAAAGCCCTGGTTTGCTTCCTCCAAAATGCTCTTCTGGGGAAATGAAGTAGCTTTCTTCAATTACTACTTTTCCTAATCAGGAGATGTCTTATGGAAAAGGATTCCCATCTCATGACCAGCTGTGGTGATAAAACCCTCCTGGGACTCTCAGGGCAGACCGGGATGCTTTCAGCAAGAAGCAATGCTCATTTGTTGTGCTCACTTGTGAGTGATGAAGGCCACACCAAGGCCATGCCAGCCAGGTAGGATGTGAAACAAAAGGTGTCAGCATTGGTCCCTTCAGGAGAGCATCCCTGGAACAGCAGAGAGCCAGTGGAACAAAGGCTGTCTGTAACAGAGCAGCCAGCTCTGATGGATGGGGCAGCTGCATACAGGGGCACAGAACTGTCTGCAGCCTTAGCAGAAGTGGGCTGCTGCTCCTGAACTTCTGGGAAAGTTTGGGCTCAGTATTATTGCTCGGGTTATTTTCTGTTCCAGGATTCTTCCTCTGCTTGCTACAGTGGCATTATAAATTCATGCATATATTTTTTCTCCTGGAAAAAATGCGAAACTCATGCTCTAATCTAGAAATAGTAAAGTGCTGCAGGGTTAAGTGCTGGAGTTCATTGGAAAATCTACTTGCTTTAGTGGGAAAGGTTTTCTTTTTTTT